CTGAGTAAATATTCTGATAACAAACTATACATTTCTCACTAGAAGTGTAATCAAACCTCATTTTAATGCAAAACCAAACTCAAGTTATTAATCTTTCCACAAAAAAATGAGCGAATGTCGGCCATATTTTTTTTTTCTTCTCCCAGCTGGAATCTTGAAAGTCACGTGACTAGGACGTAAAACAATAGAAAGGAAGAAATGTAACAGTGCCACAAAAAAATAGCCATTAATGCACCTCCACTACGTTTTGCAGTGTGGACCAACGTAGTGGGGGTACATTTTCCCATGAGACTGGGTTGTCTCCAGCTGTCTACAGGCGAGAGGCAGGGTACACCCTGGACAGGTCGTCAGTCTGTGGATTATTCAGGAATTAATCATTTAAACTAACCATTTTGAAGTTTATGCCATTATAACTTTAATCAAAACTGTTTAAGGAGTTTTGTTTATTTCTCTAAAAAGGAGCAAAGATGAGAATATTTGTACAGATGAAATATAAATCAAACTGGTTTTGTTCTCTTTTTCTCCAGGTCATGTACTCAGAATTCTTGTGTTTGGGAAAAGTGAAGAAGAAAAAGCAAAGATGGGAAACTTCATCACAAAAACACAGGATTTTTCTTTTGCTCCCAACAAACACTGTGAAGTAGCTCATGGACAGTGGATGGATAAACCTTTAACAGTCATTAAAACTCCAGACATCTTCAGCCTGTCTGTGCAAACAGTGAGAGATGAGATGAAGAACTGTGTGAGTCTTTGTCCTCCTGGACCAAATGTCCTGCTGCTGTTAGTGAAACCTTCAGATTTCACTGAAGAAAACAGAGAAACACTAAAGTTCATCCTGAATTTGTTTGATAGAGATGCCTTCAAACACTCACTGATCATCAGCACACAGTCCCATCAGTGGGAGGAAACAAACGTCTCTGTGGACAAACTACTACAGGAATGTGATGGAAGACAATACAAGATGTTCAGTGATGATCTCAAACTGCTGATGGCAGAGATTGAGAAGATTGTCTCCAAAAACAGAATGTTTCTCAGTTTCAGAAGAGAAGTGACATTAAAAAGGTCTGCTTTAAACCTGGTTCTGTTTGGGAGGAGAGGACCAGTAAAGACCTCAGCAGCCAAGGCTATTCTAGGTCAGACAGATCTTCCTTCAGCTTCCAGCTCATCAGAGTGTGTTAGAAACCAGGGAGAGGTTCATGGACGTTTGGTTTCTGTGGTGGAGCTGCCTGCCTTGTGTGGAAAAGCTCAGCATGGAGTGATGGAGGAATCATTCAGGTGTATCTCCCTCTGTGATCCTGAGGGTGTCCACGCCTTCATCCTGGTCCTACCTGTGGGTCCCCTCACTGATGAAGACAAGGGAGAGTTAAAGACCATCCAGGACACATTCGGCTCTAGAGTCAATGACTTCACCATGATCCTGTTCACTACGGAGTCAGGTCCTACAGATCCTAACTGCATAGAGACTGATAGAAACATCCAGGAGCTCCTTCAGAGCTGTGGAGGAAGATATGATGTTCTCAACATCAAGGTTCCACAGCAGATACCAGGACTGTTGGAGAGGGTGGAGGAAAGTATCTCTAAGAGGGAGACTCTGTTGTCCTACACAATTAAAACACTAGCATGTGGCCAAATAGAGGACAAAGCACAGTTCCAAGCTAAACTGATGGACCCAAAGACCGACCTTGCAGGTAAAAAAATGTTTTTTTTTTTTCACTTACAGAAAAAGGTTTTGTAATTTTAATTAATGATTTAAGTGAAGTAATTCATTTTGTCACATTTTTTTTCAGATTAAATAGTCTTAAAAATAAACTTAAAAAAAGACATTTAGCGCCTTTGAAAAATAAATCAGCTATTAACTGATCTTAGATTTAGACAGATTTATTTTGTCATTTTGTATACACGAGTGTATACAAAAGAAAGTTTGTTTTAAGCAGCTCTAGACAATTTCATTGTTTTTAAGTGGAGCCTTATAACAGTAATAAATGCATTAAAAAATGTAAAATAAACGTATGAGTATATTTACAGGTCTAACATTATTTTTATTTATTTTTTTTAAAATAAAATAACAAATTTTACACAACATTCAGCAGTCTAATGGCCGTGGGGAAGAAACTGTTCTGGAAGCTGCTGGTCCTGCATTGAATGCTGTGAAGCATCTTCCCCTAGGGCAGCAGGGAGAACAGTCCATGGTGGGGGGTCATTAATGATGTTACGGGCTCGGGACACGCAATTAAACATGTCTGACCAATACAGAAGCACCCGCCCACTGTTGAACGCTTGTGTCGAAATTATTCAATGAAAAAAAATTTGAACTTCAAAACTTTTTGCGCTTAAAAAAAAGTGATTCAAATAAAACATTTTGAACTTTAATTTTTTTTAACTTAAAAAAAACAAAAACAAAAAACAACCAAAAACACATTCTCTTCAATACTTTTTTTATTCATGGGGTTTTTTCTTTGATTAAATTTTTTTTTTTTTTTGATTGAAACAACTTTTTGGGAAATGACTGATTAAGACACAAATGTCCTACCCATGTATGGCCCAAACTGCATATCTTTGCATTCAAATATCATTTTCTTTGATTGAAAAGTTTTTTGTTCATTGAAGTGAAAGTTTTTTTATTGAAAATATATTTTTTGATTGAAGCAATCTTTTTTTGATTGAATAATAAAGAAACAAATCTACCTTCATAAAGAGGACCCCAATGATCTCCGCTGTTCTCACCACTCTCCTCACCTTCTTCCAGTCTGAGGCGCTGCAGCCTCCACACCACACAGTGAGACAGCTGGTCAGAACGCTCTCTAGAGCTTCTGTAGAAGGTGGGGAGGATGGGTGGGGGCAGGTGGGCTCTCCTAATTCTTCACAGGACGTACATGTGCTTCTGTGCCCTTTTGACCAGTGAGGTGGTGTTTAAAGTCCAGTTGAGGGTGTCTGTGATGTGAACCCCCAAGAATATGGTGCTGCTGACCACCTCTACAGCTGAGCTGTTGATGAGCAGTGAAGTGTAGTAAGGCCGATTCTTCCTGAAGTCAACGAGGATCTCCTTCATCTTCTCTGTGTTCAGGATCAGGCTGTTATCTCTTCACCAGTCCACCAGCTGCTCCACCTCCTCTATGTAGTTGTGGTCGTTGTCGTCTCTGATGAGGCCCACCACCGTGGTGTCGTCTGCAAACTTCACAAAGTGAAACTCTCCATTTATCAAGGGTGGTTGGTTGGCCCGGATGTTGATGTTCTTTTTGATGCTGATGTCCTCAGTGCATTTGTTGAAGTAGGCTGACACAGTCACGGCATACTCATCTATATTTATGTTGGTGTCATAGGTTGCTGCAGCCTTGATGTTGATGTTACAGACTTTCCAGTCAGAGCATTCAAAACAGTCTTGAAGTGTCTTCATGGCGCCCTCAGACCAGACTCAGGCCTCTTTAACTGTCCGATTAGCCCTGATCAGCTGGGGCTTATAAGCAGGGATAAGCAAACTTGACTGAGAGGTGATCTGATGACCCGAGGTGGGGGCGGGGGGCTGCTTTGAATGCATTTTTAATGTTAGAGTAAACCAGGTCTAAAATGTTTTTACCCTTGTAAAGTTGGAAAGTCCACATGTTAGTAAAAATGAGGGAAAACAGTCTTTAAGTTAGCCTGGTTAAAATCCCCAGCAATGATGAAAACACCCTCTGTGTGCAGATTGGAGCTCAGAGAAAACCTGGTATAGAGTCTTCATGGCCTCTTTTGTATTAGTACTGGGAGTAGGGTGGCCAGATGTCCGGCTTTAGGGCGGACAGTCCAGATTTTCATTGCACTGTCCGGCGTCCGGCACTGCATCCAGCCGGATGTGTATTTGTCCTCCTTTATGAGGCACTAGGCTTGTAGAGCAGATTTTTTATGTTTTTTTGCTGGGCTGCAGGACAATATCCAATCATCAAAAATAGATCACTATGTGATCTAACAGATGACTGGCTAAGAGTGTCAGATAAAGATCTGCTTGTCACTGGTTACAAAAGTAAGCAAGGATCAGAATTACTGATGCTAAGTATTAAAGTCAGCATCCTGTCAAAACCAGGACGTCATTTAACCCAGAATGGAAAAAAGAGCGTAAATTTATGACCAAAGGCAGTGGAGATTTATTCCATGGTTACTGCCACGTTGTCGATGCGATGTGGGCGTAAGCAGTCGAGGAAAAGCTGCAATTGAACGGCGTGCAAGTACGGATTAATATAAAATTAATAAACATGCAGCAGCAAACTCTTCAATGTTGGCTTTTACATTAAGTTTTGTCGCTGGATGCTAAAATAACTTGTGCAGAGCTGCAAGGTGGACTATACTATAAAACATCACTAGTCCTACGGAAGTGTAGACTGTGACGTGAAATTGGATTTCAGTGATTCGCCCATAGCTGAAGGGATGACCATGAAGACAGGTCTGCTGCACACACAAACACTTAAGATAAGTTCCCAAAAGACTGAGGCTCTTAAAAATAAAGCTATACTCTCAGAGCAGTTGAATGTGTTTTCTACAATCTCTTTTGTTGTTTAAAAAACTATTAGGCTATTTTAATATGAATGTTTCTTGTTAAAAAGATTTTTTTAACGTTTAAGTCCACACATCTTATGCTTTGTGGTATTCTGCACTTTAAATATTCATCCCGGTGGTCACTTTTTAAACACCACAATGTATTAAATAAATACAAATGCTGGGAACCGATTCTTTTTTTCATTTCTTTAATATTTTGTTCTATTCAGCTACACAATCATCCTCTTTAAATTACTAATAATTGTACTATAAATGTTACTTTACCCGATTCTTATGTACACCTTAGTATTTATTGATATGCTGCACAATGTCCTCCTTTTTGGTGCTATATGGCCACCCTAACTGGGGGGGCACATAAACAGCAGTGATGCTAACCACACTGAACTCTCTGGGCAGATAGAACGGCCTGCAGTTAACAGTTAGATACTCGATGTCTGGAGAGCAGAAGCTGGTGACCGATCTAGCATTTTGTAACCCAGCTGTTGTTGATGTAAACACAGAACCCACCACCGCAAGTCTTACTGCTTAGTTCTTTGTTCCTATCGGCGTGGTATAGCGTTAGCCTCTCGAAGCTAATAACATTGTCCGGTATTGCTGGATGCAGCCATAACTCCATCAGTTACGAATCTCCTTCTTTGATGAGAGTTCCAGTTGAAGATTATCCATTTTGTTTTCGAGCGAGCAGATGTTGGAGAGCAGGATTGATGTAAAGAGAGGTCTTTGAGAATTTCTCTTTAGCTTCGCAGTTAGCCACGCTCTGCAGCCTGCTTTCTCCGTCTCGCGCATCTCTTCCTTCGGCAGTTACGTTCCTCTGTTGTGTTGCTGAGATCCCTCCATAGCACTCAGCAGCTTTTTAAATGGTCAAAAATGTCAGTATTTAAAACATTTTGTGACCGTAGCTCCAGCAGGCATTGGCAACAATAGATGAGGGTTTGAAGTCTAGTTTCTATCGTTTTAAGCGGCATATTCTGTGAAATTGTCAAGAGGAGCTGTTCTTGGCCGCTGCTTTGGAACGCCGCCATGGCAACCAACCCTGATCTTGACAAAGCCAGTGAAATTAATACTGCTCAAAAAACAATGGACAAGGGAAGATAA